GTGTGTGTGTGTGTGTGTGTGTGTGTGTGTGTGTGTGTGTGTGTGTGGTGTGTGTGTCCCTTGAGAATTATGACTATGACTATGGTGGAAATTACAGTAGGGTGCAAAAACAGTCTGTTAGATGAAATCATAAATCATAAAGGCCATTTCCAGTAATACCACTATTGGCATTGCTGGTTGGCCACAGATAATAACTGTGCACAGCTTATTGTTCCTTTTTCTAAAGTGGCAAAGCAGGAAAGACATGGGGAGAGGGGCAGTCCTTCCTGGAAGAGCAGCTGCAAGCTATGGTTTAGTTACAGATCCATGTTCAGTGGGTTTAAATATGTGGTAACTTTAAGTAGAGAATTTATGGCCATGATTGTGGAGACCAACTTGCAAGTTGTACAAAAATAAGCAGTGATACACAGTAAATAATAATCAGAAAACGCTTTATTTCTGAGTACACAGGAATTTGACCTGGCATCCCAGCACAATGGGACAATTTCGATAACAAATTTGTATAAGATGCTATTTCATAATTATGAGATAGTATCTCATTATTAGGAAATCGCCAAGTTTAGATAATGAAATAGTTGCTGCTTTTTTCGTCAGTGGAAAGAAAAACTTCAGAGTGGCAGAAATGGGCCTCCATACATTTTGATTTTTCTCTGGAATGAAAATATATGTGAAATGTGACATAAAGCTGCTTTTCCTTTAGATTTATTACTTTTACAGTGAGGTAAAATACAAATCTTTTATTTACAGTTGATTTCAACAGTTAATTACAGTTGAGATATCCCCTTTTCCAGTATCAGTCTGGCACTGAGCTGGTTGAGTTTTATCATGGTATTGTTTTATAAAAGCCTCTACCAAAGTTAAACTGATTTGTTGGTGTTGTCGGTATCTGTTGGGCCTCTGGAATGAAAGTCTACAGGTACATTCCCCCGCCTGCTGCAGTTTTTGGGAGTGGCTGAGGGCTAACCTGGGACACAACAGCAGAGCAGACATTTCCTGAAGACAGCCCCTGAGGATGGAGCCCTCCTGCCCAGCGTTTGTGGCCTTGGTGGCTGTGCTGTTCTGCAGTGGGAAAGCTTCAGACATCTGCCATCAAAAGCCTTGTCCCGAGTACCAAGTGGTGGAAACAAACCCGGTAAGTTCTCGTCCAGGCGCTCACCGTCCGGATGCTCTGGTTCTGAACAGGTCTTGTTTTGAGCAGGAGTTTGAGGAGCGGCGTTATGTTGCCACTGACTGGATCACCACAAATATTGCCGGCAAGGAGAGTGCTGATTTCCTGGCTGCAAATGAGAGACTGAAGGCTGAATGTCAGAGACTGAAGAAAGCAGGTCAGTTTTTGAATTTTTTAGGTTTCATCTCATTTTGCCTCCAAGAAAAATACATTTGGGGAAAAATGAAGAGGAATGTTTGAGTTTCTTTCTCGATTGTGACAGACAGGAGTACTTTCACCCTCCATAAATCTGATGTGCTAAAAATAGATTTGAAATTCTCCAATTTCATAAGTTCAAAATTTGGGGAAATCTTGTCCAATAATAATATTTCAGAGAAAACTTTTAGCGTCATGCCTGTTTGCATCTAAACATTGAAAATGATCTTGTTCCAGCACAAATGTTGCAGCATTTAACTGCTGCTTATGAAACCGTCTAACTGGTTTGGTCCCGTGATAAACAGCCCTCGCCCCCCCTTGCAGGTCAGGAGATCCCCGACTCCTGGCCGGTGCTGGTCACCGTCACTGAGGGAACAGATAAACCTGACATTTCCTTGTCCTGGTTTGTCCCACCTGGTATGAAACCTGAAATCTCCGACTCCTCAGTCACCCTGCAGCACAGAGAGGCCGCCACCGTTTACATCAGGTGAAGACTTAAGGACACAGAAGTGGGAAAATGTATCAAATATTAACCTGTGTAAACCCGATGATGCTTTTCGTTCGTTTAAAATGTCGCTTGTGTTCTCTCCTGAGGTCTTTTGGTGGCACTCCAAGTCTGCAGCTTGGTCTGGAAAATACAAAAGTCCTCCGTGAGGCTTTGGTCAAAGCTGGGAAAAGCTTTGATCCACACACCTATCACGGGGCTGCTTACGACTCCTTTTTCTCCCTCACACACCACAACGAAGTCTGGATCTATGCTGCCTGACCGCTGCTGAATGCAGTGGTCGACATTGTATAGTCATCTATAGATTTATTTGATATTACTGCACTGCTGGAATATGATCTAATCATGTTGATTCTCCACATATCCACACTTGTATACAATTTAAATGCAGTAATACAAATATGAACCAATCTATTATATTCTGTGTATGACTGGAACTGTGCAATTGAGTTATAAAGATATTAAATATGTAATTTTCTGTGTGTATTATCATTGCAGTTGTCATCTTAAATCTTTTTTAATATCAATCAAGGTTGATGCAAAGCTGGGAGGATCCTCCTGAAAGTCTATCGCCTAAAAATGCAATCTACTAGTTAGACTTGTTAGACTAGATGAAAGATAAAAGCTCACTCGAAGTGGCTGTCTGCTGACAGGTTTACTGAAACACATGTTTGTGAAGCGCGTCACTTAATTAAAAATATCTCACAGTCTCACAATGTTGTTATCAAAGTATCACACTTTCTGCCTTCTCTTTTGTGTTTAGGTTCAGCATTTTGTTTGCATTTGTTAGCCGGCCCAGCTATGCACAGCCTCCATGCAGATCTTGGAACATGATTATGAGGCAGACTCATTTTTTTCTGTCTGGGTTGCTCCCCCATAAAATCAGGTGTTTTATGCGTTAACCCTGGAAACTTGGGGGGCAAATTCACAAGTAGGTTTGCATGAAACACGTCAGATGTGAGCCATGAAAGTCTGTGGTGCAACTGGGCTCAGAGTCTGAATCCAGGCAAGGGGATAGATACCTGAAAGTGTAGCAGGGCTGGATTAACAAACTCATTTAAATTCAACACTAACAAGAAATCTCAGACTAGAAGAAGAAAAGCATCAAAGAAAGACTGGTTTGAGACAAGCTCTGCGACACCCACAGCAAGGACTGGTTATCTACCCCCGTAGATCTATGAATGAGGAACAAAGAGCAGAAAGCTGGCATAGCAGTTGACAACATGCACGGAAAATCACTGAGGAGGGAATCTTACCAGAAATGAAGCTGGAGGAAATGCAAATGAAGAGAAACTGAACCAACCAAAACTTGAACCTCAGAAATGGACGCAAGCCAGGAGCCTGGAAACAACAAAAATAGAAACAAGGATGGTCAACATTGATAGTAAAATAACCATATTTTTATGTGACATGAACAATTGTTTGACGGTAGATTTTACTTCAAAGGTGACATGGATTAAAAACAGATGGTTGAGCCACAATAGTCCTTAGACCCTTAATGTGAAACCACACTAGATAACATCATTTCGTTAGAATATCAAATAAAAAAATCCCAATAAAGTCACATTAAAAACTACATTTGAAAACTCTTTAAATATGGAGACAGGGTCACTAAAGTGGGACCTTTATCACCTTGTGGAACAGTAAGATGTCAAAATAAATAAAACAATTACCCACAGAATATGGTTTGTAGTTTTTTGGAAAAGAAACATTTCTTTATCATATTTAATCCGGAAAATTTTACAGTGCATTAATATTTTTCATTGACAAGGACAGAGCTGTAATACATTTTTGGCAAATGTGTTACAGGCCTTTATGGGGGAGTCAAAATGTTTGTTTAAAATATTCTTAAATTATCGTTTTGTTTTGGCAATTCTTTGCTTTATTTCTGACACAATGATCAGTTCTTGACAATCAAAAGTATTGGACAGCAATTTTATAATTGAAAGAAGATGTAAATGACAGTTTCTTTCATAAATCATCAACACAACAAATAAAGTTACAATCACGCAAAGGCCAAACACATGCAGCCACAAAAGGGAAGACCCAAAATACAGTACAGAGGCGTCCAGGAAACCACTTTCTCTTATAAAACCGTGAAAGAAACATTCTCTCCCGGTTGACATGGACATAGTTTGTGTGTGTGTGTGTGTAATATGTCAGTTTGAAGATTAGAGAAAAACGCAGAGCAAAAATGCCCCACAGAAACACAGCAAAAAGGTTTTAATAGGCTGCACGCGTTTCTGCGGCCGTTTAATTGATTTCTGGCAGACTATCACTATTTGGGACACCTGCTTTTTAAGAGGTGTGGTTGTCTTCCCCGGCTTTGTTCGTTCCGCCGAGGGGGATGCAACTCTCACTAGTCCACTAATTCGTACGGAAAATAGCTACCAGACTGTACAGGCATATAACAACCCTTGTGAAACATCTTTTTTAACACATGTTTAAAAACATAACGCAATCTGTGTGAAACCCAAACATAAACAAGAAAGCCCGTCTCAGATATTTCACCCGTTCCATAATTTGTGTAACACCGGAAGCTGTGAACATAGGTTTTTAATCCCACAGTATTGTCTTACAGGAAACAGGCAAGTGGGCAACGAGTGAGAGCTAAAGCTATTACAGTTTGCTTTATCTTACATGTCTATTAACTGTATTTTTATATAAAGCTTAATATAAATGTAATGCATATGTGATGTCAGAGTAAATGGGGTTTCAGTTACCCGGGAAAATGTCTATCGTGGTTCCTGTAAGACTAGTTGTAGGTAAAATAGGCAATAAACTTTTGAGATACGTTCCCATTTTCGTCTGGTCTTCATGCTGTTACAAGCTGAAACCTATAACCTCTTCTATACAGCATATCCTTACTTTCAAAATTAGACACTTCTTCAGACTAATTTTCTAGAAATTTAAGTGAATTGGGTGTACGTATCTTTGTGGTTAGCTAGCATTAGCTACGAGCCAACGTTACATGGACAATCTTTTTCTAATTAGTTCATGGCAGGTTAGCTTACCTCAGCTAATTCTGCTATGTGACTTAACTAAACCAGGAAAGTACTGAGAAAAGCTCCCTGCACGTCACAGGTTTGTGGACACCTTGCTTTATTTTGTACAGTCCTTTTATTCAATTCAACACATCCAGTTAGCTACTTGTGGTAGCTAACTGCTACAACTGTAAAGTGATACTTACTTTATAACTAAGTCATGTTTCCTCTGATGTTATGTGTCACCCCTAATGCACACCTGGTTAAAAACAGGTACACCTGCTCCAGCAGGCCACTAAATCACTGTCAGCTGTGGCGTGTTTCCAATTATGTAAACTGAAAGGAAATCCAAGTGGACAAGTCAATAAGCCACGACCACAGGAGAGGAAAACAGCACTATGTGATGCTTTCTTTGTAAGATGAGGTCATTTTGAAGGAGCGAGCTGACAGACAGGTAAATCCACTGTCTCCTTTGGTCAAATGTCCACGTGAACTGTAGCATTTTAGTAGAGAGAAAGTGAGGCTATGGTATCCACAAGTAACTCCAACAGCTGCAGGCATGCTGCACCCTGCACACAGAGAAATGGGAGGAAAAAACTGTGACAGGTCTCATAATCATACACCAGACCGGCTGGAAAGGGCAACTGTAAACAATGGACAACACCAGGATGGCTGATATTTTGTGGCCTGTTTGTGCAACAACTTCAGAATTGACTTATGTACAGTGTTTTCCTCTGTGAGCTGTATGTGACATCAGTATCTGACACTCGCAGGTCATTTGGGGTCTAAATGCCTCTCAGTGTGGTCACGTTTGTATTGTGAGGACAACCCCGCAAAAGGCTGGAGCCGGAGAAAATAATCCAGCTGTAAACAGTGGCTGTTCAACCTCTGACAGGGTCATGGGATCAGACGTTGTTTCAGTGACGCCATGTTTTGTGTGGGAATCACTGTGATCAAATCCTCCCAAATGGGGAGAAAGGAGGGGTTTGACATTTTAACTGATTGATGGGAATGTTTTGGCTGATTTATTTATTTATTTAAAAAAAAATTGTCACCATTTCTTGGCTTTGCAGCCATGTCTGAGTGCCTAACCCTGATCCAGATTTTAGGAGCCTGGAGCTGAAAGAAGCTTCAGCTGGTTTAGTTCTGACTCTGGACCCCATCAGGAGACCAGAACCTGGTTTAGTTCTGACTCTGGGCCCCATCAGGAGACCAGAACCTGGTTTAGTTCTGACTCTGGCCCCCAGCAGGAGACCAGAACCTGGTTTAGTTCTGACTCTGGACCCCAGCAGGAGACCAGAACCTGGTTTAGTTCTGACTCTGGACCCCAGCAGGAGACCAGAACCTGGTTAAGTTCTGACTCTGGGCCCCAGCAGGAGACCAGAACCTGGTTTAGTTCTGACTCTGACCAGAACCTGGTTCTCAGAGTCCAGTTGGTCCATCTGGCTCTAACATGTCGGACCATGAAGAGACCAGAACACCAGCAGAGCTGTTTTAGTCTGTTCTGACAGACAGGAAGCAGAGACCTGAGTGAACTGGGATTAGAATAGATATTTGTTGTGACTAAACGTAGTCAAGGTGATTTGACTTTTTTTGCAATGATTTAGGTCTTTTGAAATCACATTTGTCTAAGAAAGAAAACCCATCACTGGTCCATGTTTGCTGTATTTCTTTATATCCTGTAGTTTTAGTTTGCCTTTTGCCAGAGTCAAAGTAAGAATAAAAACTCCAGTGGTTAGTCCAAAGCTCTGCTGCTGAACATCTGAATATTGAGCTGTCTCTCTCTTTTTTTGTATCAGTTGTGATGAAAGTAAAGTTGTTGTTGCCTCTGAAACGGTCTTCCTGCGTGGCTCCTGATGACCTGCCGTGGCTTTTGCAGGTGTGGACAGACGCTCTCATGTGCCCATGGACAAGACGGCATTTGAGAAGTGGCTGGAGTCGGTCTCTGCTGCTTTCCTGTCCCTTAACGACCAGCAGCGGAACCAGTCCCTGGACCACCTGATCTCCCTGAGCGGGGCGGTGCAGCTGCGGCACCTGTCCAACGGCCTGGAGACGCTGCTGAAGCGGGACTTCCTGCGCCTCCTGCCTCTGGAGCTCACCTTCTACCTGCTGCAGTGGCTGGACCCCCAGACGCTGCTCACCTGCTGTCTGGTCTGCAAACAGTGGAACAAGGTTCAGTTCAGCTTTATCTCTGTAGCTCCACATCCCCACAGCAGGAATCTCCCAGCTTTAACCAGAGCAGCTCAGAGGAAGAACCCTGGAACAGAACCAGAGAGGGGGGGGGGCATCTACCTCAAGCGGTTAGGGGTCAGAAAGAGGGAGGGAGAGAGGGCAGGAGAGAGAGAGGGTGAGAAAAGGGTAAGAGAGAAACATAGAGAGCAAGAGAGAGAGGGAGAGCAAGAGAGTAAGACAGGGAGAGAGAGGGAGACAAGGACAGAGGGAGCAGAGGGATTCAGCCTCAGTAGGACTCAGTTTTACTCGCCATTTTTGTTTTTTCTTGTCAGCCATAGTTGATTTGGACACTAGTCTGTGTAAATACAGGTTTAACATCACCTGTTATGTTCCCTGATTAGACTTTTTAATCTGTTCATGCAAATATTTCTGAAGTTTTCAGACATTTTTCTCTTGAAGCTTCATAAATGTGTCTGCAAAAAATGGCTGTGTTGCATCCAACAGACTCTGACTCTGCCTCCTTGTAGGTGATTAACTCCTGTACAGAGGTGTGGCAAGGTGTGTGTCGAGAGCTGGGCTGGAGGATTGATGAGTCCATTCAGGACGCGACGCATTGGAAGTGCGTGTACTTGAAGGCCAAGCGGCGGATGATGCAGCTGAAGGATCGGGAAGCCTTTGAGACGTCTTCCCTCATCGGCCACAGCGCTCGAGTGTACGCCCTCTACTATAAGGACGGCCTCCTCTGTACAGGTACCGAATAAGACTAGATGAATATGTTAAATCCAAATATTTCTTCGTAGCCTGGTGTTCATATTCAACACACAGAAAACGGTCTCCTGGAACGCTGTGGTCGCTGTAATATAATATTATTAAACACGTTTTCAGTTCCTCTGGCTTGGCGGCGCAACCACGTCATGCCTCCAACGATTTCATAAAAATGATGATAAACTGCAATAGGTTAACACAAGGATAACATGGAGGACGATGGATTTCTAACAATTTGTTGATTCCCTGTTTATTTAGCATGTATTTGATATAAAAACTTCATTTGCCAACCCGTCCTGCCCCACGGAGCTGAGCGCGCAACCCAAACTAACCCAATACAGGCCAAAAGGGACCCAAAACTGACCCGAACTAACCCAAAACGGACCCAAACCAACCCAAAAGGGGGCAAAACCGGTCCAAACTGATCCAAATCGGTCCAAAATAGGCCAAAATATAACATGGCGGGACGATGAATTTGATACAAAAAAGGTTTGTTTTTTTTCCCTGTTGATTCCCCATTTATTTAGCATGTATTTGATATAAAAACTTCATTTCCCAACCCGTCCTACCCCACGGAGCTGAGCACGACGGGCTAACAGCTTCTGATTAGCCCGTCAATAAGGGTCGATCTGTGACGTTTAGAGTAGGATTAAAGCTTCCCTTCACAGTACAGACACACAGCTATGCAGCATTGACTAAAGTCAGTATATTGTAGGAGGTGATTCTGCTACCAGGTAACTGAGAATTATTGGAATTACTGTGAATCTTTTTTTAGATTAGAAAAAAAAAGTATGACAAAAAGTCATTTTAGAAGAAAAAGAAATTAACTTTTTGTAACAGGATGTTACATAAGATGCCTTAAAAGGAGGTTAATGTTGTTGCATGCTATTATTTTAATTCATTACTAGCATTTGGCTGCCTTTGTTTTTCATGGAGGCCTCATGTTAGTAGATTTAGTTTAATAAATTCAGCAATGTGCTGCTTTCTGTACTTTCTGTCCTGTCACCTTTTACAGGAAGCATGTGAACGTCTTCTTTCTTTTCAGGATCTGATGACCTTTCAGCCAAATTATGGGACGTGCGCACTGGCCAGTGCATTTACGGGATTCAGACGCACACCTGTGCAGCAGTCAAGTTCGATGAGCAGAAGCTGGTGACGGGATCCTTTGACAACACTATTGCATGCTGGGAGTGGAGCACAGGGGCTAAAATCCAGCATTTCCGGGGCCACACAGGAGCAGGTGTGTAGCTGTGCCAGCTCAAATATCCTCATTGTTTTGAGGCTAGTTTGTATTTTCCGTTTGGACTTTTAAACAAAGCTGGCTCTGGAGTGTGGATCGGGGTTTTCTCCTGCCGGCCGATATGCAGTTTTTTTGCAAATATGGGCGGCCGATGGGCTCCAGATATGGGATGGGGACCAGCCTAACTGGGATGGCTAGATTTGAGCTGAACTGTTAAAGTTGAAGTACTAACCAGCTGTGTGTGGGCTGTCCAGTCTTCAGCGTGGACTACAACGATGACCTGGACGTGCTGGTCAGCGGCTCGGCAGACTTCTCCGTTAAGGTCTGGTCTCTGTCGGTGGGGGCCTGCCTCAACACGCTCAACGGCCACACCGAGTGGGTCACCAAGGTCAGCCTCCCACACAACCCCCCCCCTCTGACAGCCGTCCGCCACTCCCCAGACCAGGGGGCGGAAACCCAAGATGTTAAAAGAGCCACAAAAAAAATGTGAAAAATGAAAAGCCTTATAGTGAAGGCAACACATGCTGTATGTATCTATATTAGCTATATTAGCCTGCCATCAAAATGGCTACAAATACATAATGAGCCTCCATGATTAAATGTGATCGTGATCATTTCAGAGTCCACATACCTGCATAAAACTCTGTTCAGTATCGATCACATGACTCATCACAGGAAACTGAGGATGCTGGGGCTGAATTAATGGCCTTAATTTGCTGATGGGTGATGTTGCCTGACTTTTTAAATGGCCCTTTCCTTCATTGTCTTAGCGGAGAGAGGCATGTCTGGTTTTCTGTATTATCTCGGTTTAGTTTTTTTTAAAGTCAGAATATAGGTGTTCCGATTCATAGAGATGTCCCGATCCAGCTTTTTGATCCCGATCCCGGCCTATCAGAGCATGTGTTAAAGTCTAAAGTTATTTATCTACTTACTTAGTTGTCAGACTCATGTTGAACAGGGATTTACTCTGATAACAACTTAATGGTTAGGACACAGACCTTTGGTTACAGATGCTAATGCTCGTGTGGGATCGGACTTTAAAAAACTGGATCTGGACTCTGGATCTGCATTTTCTCTTGCCGGCTGATATACAGTTTTTTGCGAATATCGGTGGCCGGTCCGATCCAGATATCGGATCGGGACCAGCCTAATTCTGATATGTTGATAAATGACTCTTTCATGTAGTCCCCGTCTGTGAACAATTTTTTACGCTTTATTATCTCCCCGGTTGCAACAACACTTTCAGCAGTAGTTTGGAGATACAATCCACTTCTTGAATCTATTTTTGGCTCCTCTAATTTCTCCAGAAGTTTTTTTTCTGACTCCCAACTGGGAGGGACACATTTCTACACATTTCTACAGCATTGGAGAACGTTAAGAATGTTTGTGTCATGTTTGTCCTCCTACAGAAACCACATTAAAACATATTTCCTTCCCCCACCAGGTGATACTACAGCGGAGTGAAGTAGAGTCTATGGTTCACAGCCCTGGTGATTACATCCTCCTGAGTGCTGACAAGTATGAAATTAAGGTAAGGGCTGAAGGGTTAGTCCCAACTGAAGCTGGTGCTGGTGGTTCTCCATCGTGTCCTCCCATGAAACCGCTGCCATGTTCCCTTTCAGATTTGGCCTCTGGGCAGAGAGATCAACTGCCGGTGTCTGAAGACCCTGTCGGTGTCGGAGGACCGCAGCATCAGCCTACAGCCGCGCCTGCAGTTCGACGGCCGATCCATCGTGTGCAGCTCCGACCTCGGGGTGTATCAGTGGGACTTTGCCAGTTTCGAGATTCTCAGGTAAAATGGTCAGTGGTAAACTGACCGTACCTTTCTAGTCTAGCTGACCACTCAAACCTCTGTCACAGAACCAGCAGCCTGTAAGTAAGAAAAGGTCAAAGGTCATAAAGGCTGTTTGAAAGAGGTCTGTTTGAATGGACTTTCTAGGTACTCTGACATATCTAAGCTGTCTCAACAGTTATACTTAACCCCATAAAGCCTGAGCCAAGAAAAATAGAAAGATTACTTATGTCCCCTAAATAAGGCGCTCCAGTAGAGGCTGGGGCTGTTAGCATCCAGAAGCAGCTACGCTAAAGGGAAGCTCAGCTAACAGGCAGATATTCAGTCAGACTTTATTAACAGAACACAAACCAAATTAAACAACAGTGTTTAATAGGTAGAGCAGCATTTTTATCAGTAGTGGAGGGAACTTTTCCTCCATTCAGTAAATAACAGAAACAGTCTGATACGTTACGGTAAATCAGACGTTAGCATCACAACATATAGCAGCTAGCATAAAGCTGAGCAGCTTTTCTTTAGAACTATTTGAACTAGCTGTTGTTGTAGTTAGGATCAGATTCAACGTTTACCTTTAATGTCCACATTTTTTAACAGCCTCCTTCTCTGTTGGGGCTCCATCCTGATCAATATATAAGGCCCACTTATAGTGTAGTGATAAAAAGGTCTGAGCTTTTGTTTATTTAAACTAGTGAAGCGCTGCCGTGAGAACTCTGAAATCCAGTCTGCTTTCCTGCTTTCAGGGTAATAAAAATGCAGGACCCCGCCAACATGTCCCTGCTGGGCTTCGGGGAGGTGTTTGCTCTTCTTTTTGACAACCACTTCCTGTATGTGATGGACTTGAGGACAGAGGCCATCTCAGGCCGCTGGCCCCTGCCGGCCTACAGAAAGTCCAAACGGGGCTCCAGCTTCCTGGCCGGTGTGACCTCCTGGTTCAATGGGCTGGACGGGGAGAATGACTCTGGACTCGTGTTTGCCACCAGCATGCCTGACCATAGTATTCACCTAGTATTGTGGAAGGAGAACGGGTAGCCAGCAGGAGAAAGGACCATGTTGGAATATGAGCCGCCACTGCATGTGCTCTGGTTCCAGAGCCGCCCGCGGGGCTCATACACGGACCCAGGCTCCTTCTTCTCCATGTCTTGTTTTGCTGAGCATGCAGGCTGCTCTGATCTGAAGTGGGATGATGTGTCCCCGCTCTGCCCCCTCAGACCAACGTCCACAGAGACCATGTTAGTCATACCGGATAGAGTAAAGGCAGTTTTATGGCATATAATTCCCCCACGTGCTCAAAAAGAATCCCAACTCCTGTTGCATTGGTGTGAAATGTGGAAGAGTGAGCGTGTTTGTCCGTTTGGCTCTTTATGGGAAGAAAACGCACCGTTGACATTCAATAGATCGGCTTGCAAATAAGTGCCATGTTTGGAATGGAGGGAGCCTTTTCTTTTCAGAAACGGGTTTTGTCCCGGCTAACGCCATGCTGGTCTCTGAGCTAACGGACAGAACAAATAGTTTCTTCAAGGAAAAGCAGGGTTGCCTTATACGCTCACTGTTAATAAAGGAGGAAGGCTCCTTTGATGTCAGATGGTTATGTCCTGAGTGATGTTTCCTAGGCTTTTCTCAGCTTTTTTAAATCGTTTTCAACAGAGGAAGGAAGCTATGTGCTGTATTTTCAGTTGAGAAGTTTTGTACATTGTTGTTTACCATGTAAAATATTGGTAGGTTTCACCTTAATCCACTGAAAATGCTAATCTCATGGATGTGTGGTTAAAATGTCCGTCTGTAAGATGTGATGTGCCTTTTCATTTAATCTGATGAGGAAAATACAGAAATAAGGCACTCTGCAGTAAGACACTGGGCCCACTGTGTGAGTGTGTGTGTGTGTGTGTATGACTGTGTGTGTGTGTGTGTGTGTATATATATACACACACACACACATGCATGTGTGTGTGCGTCAAGTGAACTTCTTTTATTATATATATGACATTCATTTTGAAAGGCTTTTTTGGTTACAGCTGGGGCAGTTATTTCAAACAAATTTGGTTTTATGCTAAATCAAAACCCAAATTTCAAATTGAACCCTGGATTGATGCGTTCCTTTCCGTGAGCGGTTAGTCTGTCAAACGTGCCTGGTTGAGTGAAAAGGTTTTCTGCTTGTCTAATGACCAATAATGAGACTTTGATTGATGCGTTTTGTCTTTTCACCCTGCATTGATATTGTTTTGTTCATTTCTAAAAAAGCCTTATTCTTTCCAGGCCATAACATGTTCCTCATGTGGGTAATTATGCACAGCAGATTTATGAATAATCCTAATTTAGGTTTGTCAGCCACCAGTATATTGCACTCTGACGGAGGTCTCCTGCATTTCTCAGTTCAAGAAAAACAACCACTTGTATATAAAATTATATAAAGAGTGAAAATGTTGCGAGGAGTAACATCTTCATGGACCATGAAGACTTTCTACGTGTTAGACTGATTGTATTAAACAACTGCATAGTGCTCATTCTGTCTTCAGATCATTCTGCTGCACCATCTCAGCATTTAGTCATCTGTATCTATCTCCAGTGTGCTTAATGCTGCGTTCTTTCAAATAAAAAACTCTCAAACGCAGTTATCCTGGTAACTTTGTTGTTGTTTACATCCGTCTGGCTGGTGCTAACAGCAGCTGCTTTCAGGTTTGGTTTACTAACTTTTTCAGTGAATTTTTTGTTGTTTTTGTTTTTCCCATTTTCCAGGTGAGTTGGGAAAGGCCCGGTGGGGTTTTTTTTTCAGTGACATCCGGTTGACCCATCCGTCTCAGGGCCAAACGCAGACTAACAGGCTCTCTGTTCAAGGGTCAGTTCTGAGGGAGCAGTTGAGCGTTGTGGACAGCAGGGGAGGCCAGAGCACAGGGAGAGGACCGGAGGTGGAGAGCAGGAGGAGAGCTAACGGCAGGATTCAAACCCTGAAGCTCTGCTGTGTGCTGCTGACTGAGCCATCAGACCTGCTGAAGGAGGGAGACACTGCAAACCATGCAAAGACTCGGGAAACTCATCAATGAGGTCATTTACCTAAAACAAACCTCGTAAGAGAGTTTTGTCTAAACCTCCCTTTCTGTTGCATTTTGACTTCCTAAATATTTGTCGGTGGTTTTATCTTTTATTTAGTCGCCGTTCTAAAGTCATACCACACCTTTAACTGATACTAGTATAAACTTTCTAATGCTTGTGAGCATTACTGAATTAAACTGATTTGGAAAGTGATCCATACAGAGATAATTTCACAAATCTCTAGTTTTTATGCAGGCCTCCTAAAATCTTTTACTCATTGATTAAAACATGTAAAGAGGATTCCAGGTTGTTTTTTTTCTAATCTTTATTGTAAAACACCAGATCTGGTAGAGGGATCTTTTCCCTTTTGTTTGCACAAAAATATTTGATCCTTATTTCACACTACTTACAATACACCGTACTAAAGGAATGAATGGATAAAGGGAAATATTCAGAGAACACAGCGGTCATGATTCAGTTTGAGTTTTAGGCATTTTGCAGGTATGACAAAGTCTGATTTATCTATTGTTGTTTTCTGTTCCTCTGTCTGTGCAGGAGTAAAGCTCATCTGTTGGTCAGTCTCAGTGCTGACCAGTCAAACACAATGCCATTCATTCATGACCAACTAACAGTAACTGATCCACAGTCTCTGGTTTTTAGTCCTAACCCAGATCAGGACGAGGGAGTAAATCAGAAGATCTCCTCACTGGGTGACTAATCATGTAAAATGCACCTAAATGTTCCAGATGTGTTACTTTTTGAGGATCTGCTGTCTAATACTTCCATATTCTGAACAGGGTCAGTGCTCTGAGGGATGCTTTGGCCTTTGGTGTGAAATGCTGTTTCCTGAGGCAAATGCTGAAAAAGCCCTGTGTGTTCAGATGAATTCAGCCTAATTGGAGGTGAGTGTGTGTGGCCGACTGATGAGAAAAAAGCTGCTCAGACTGTTAAAGCTGCTGAAGGCCCTAATGAGCCGGAGACCAAACTGTGGCCTGGACTCACTGGAAGGACGGACGCCAACAGACTGACCTCCACCCCCCCGGACCCCTGGTGGACTTCAGGCTGTCGGGGATACAATTACAATACAATTATTCTTATAACTAAGCTGAAAATACATTTAATGTAAATTGTTACAGAACTAGGTAATTTAACAAAAGATAGAAGTGGTTTTCACAAAACTTTAATCTTTTGGAATTCTTTCAACTCTACAGACATGATTGTTTGTTCATTTTTATAAACTAATTAATGTACCTGAAGGCCGGTAAGTCATTTTTGATCAGTTTTGTGTGTTGTTGGAACCTGCTTGCATGTAAATCTAAAGTTTAAGAAGCACTTTTATCATCAGAATGAGACAGGTAATGACTTAAAATACGTTTTAGGCTTGCATGCAGTAGAATAGTTTTATTTTAAACAGTAAAAGATTTTATTTCCATTGGAAAGTTTTGAATTTGTTTTGAACTTCCCTGCAAATGAGTTTTCTATAAAGCTCTCTAGCAGTGAAGGTTTTTGTGACTAAAAAAAACCCGTCGTTAGCCACAGGCTGTTTTCTGATCAAAGCCTTCTGATTGGCAGGTGAGAGTCCGGCCCGTGTTTTCCCGTGGTCTCCCTCACGGCTGATTAGACTCTGTGAAAGCAGGCGGGCCAGCAGAGCACCGGCGGCCGGACACAGGCCGGAGAGCTGGACCAAACAGTGGACAGTGAGGGGCTTCATCCCAGCAGGATGCCGGGACTCTAGAGGCTCCTTCTGGTTTGTCTGGATTCTGGATTCTGACAGGGCGGGTCACCATGGAGTCAGGGAGAGGTCACCTGAATCTGAAAACAGCCCTGCTGACCATGATGATGTTTAAGTGGGGTGAGTAGAGAAATCATGAAAACAGTCTACTGCACAGGACATTTCTGTGAAGGATGTTATTCCACAAACACCACTCCTCCAGGAGTTGGAAAATAGAAACTTTTACTATAAAAGAATGTGAACATGTATTGACTGTCCAGAGAAATTTGGCTGTTTCTCACTTCTTGGTGAGCTGAATCATTTTCTGGATGGGTCTCTCTGCATTCTGCCTCTTTTAGAGATTGTAATGATAATGTGTTGGTGTCATTCCATTCAGATCTCATAAATAACATATTCCAGACTCAGAAACAGTAGATCTGACTTTACAGGGGCCGTTACTGTAGACTTTCTCATACAGACATCGTAAACTGCCTGTTTGAATGGGATCTGAAATGGGAGCGGAGCTCCCTGTAAAAAGTTAAGTCTGTTCAGATTTGATAGATGACTGAGTCAGAATGCAGCGCAGCTCCGAAGCCGTCAGAACCAACAGATGAACCAGCAGAAAAGCTCGTTCACGGGCAGCTGAGCATGAAAGGAGGAGCAGAATGCAGTCACGCAATGTCCAGAAAGCTCCCACTTCCACTGCTTTTGCATCTAAATACGAATATGACTCTGTCTGGATTGGCCAAAATGAGTTATTACCTTAACAAGGGCTCACAGGATGAGAGTGTTCCTCTTTACAGTCCAGGTTCAAAGTCCTGAACACAGATATAGATGCTATTTAACAGCAGTATACAGGCCTTAATACATGTTTTACAGATTTGGGGAAATATTCTTACTGCTTTATCTAGTTTGCACGCTAAATTTTACAGATTAAAATGGTCTTAAAGAATATATTAAATGTCAGACTAGTGTAAAATGTGTTCAGAAGGGACTGGATGAGCAGATGGGTGTAAATGAGCGGTGCTGTTCTAATAAGCTGCTTAGCCTGCCCTCTGTCCGGCAGGACGGAGCCGGTGCTTCTCCCGGGTCTTAGCAGAGCTCTGAGTCACCGGCGTGAGAACGGGCGGCCAGGAACACTCACCTCTTTTTCTTGGGGGTCATAGTAGAACCCTGAAATGGTGAGCAACAGGGGGGGGTGAGGTCCTCAGTTCTCTGGCCACACATGTAGTCATTCTGAAGGCAGAAAGAAATTCAACTGGAGTTAAAAAGTGTTTTTGTGTTGGTCTAATTTGCAGATTGTATTTAGTTTTTTTAATCTCTTCTGCATCGGAGTAGGTTTGTAGCTTCAGTTTTCATCTTTTCTTGTTGATTTTCTATCCTGTCTGGTGTTTTGTGGGCTGCTTTGCCCTTTTCTCCACCAGGTTTTGACAGTTTTTTAAGGACTTCATCAGTAAATTCTTTAAGGGGAGACATTTTTGGGATGTCGGTGAGGAAAAGAGGAGCCCGGCCCCCTGTGGGAGTTGGAGCAGAGCTCAGCCCGTGTTGTTTTAGACGGGATGAGGTGGAGGGGAAAGGGGGGGGGGGTCACACATTTCCCCCTATTGCCACACTAACTGCCACTCAGTGGCATTTAGAAATCCAGGACCACAGGATTAATGACCGTTTTCCAATCGTCACCGGATGCTTTCACACCTTAAACCCCCCCCCCCCCCCCCCCCCCCCGTGATCCTGTCCAGGATTAGTCTGCTGTTTGGTGCTTGTTGTATGAAAACAGTGGAAACGAGCTGGAGAAAACACAACGGGATCAAATTATGAATCAGAATGAGTTTTTTTTCTTCCATTTTTAACTTTGATGGGGCTCTTCTCCTAACTCCATCCTGCCCCCCCCCCCGGGGCTGTCCAGCCATCAGAGCCCTCAGCTGGACAGAGCAGCAGGAAGTCTTTCTATGTGGGTTGTTTTTCCCTAAACTCAGTATTGAAAGTAAGGACACAGAGTGTGTGTTTATGTGTGTGTGTGTGTGTGTGTCAGCACACACAGCAGCACAGCCTCCTAAATGTTAGGAGCCGGACAGAGCGAGGGGCCACATGCCGGCGGGGGTAACGCAGCAGGTACCAGGAACTGTGATGACCGATGAGAGGGAATGTGCACATTAGTGTGACCCGAACTTGGGAATGTAATCTGTGCAAGTGTCCTGCCACTGAGAGATTAAAGGAGCAAGGGGATTGGCCACAAAGAGCCAGGGGGATTACAGGATTACCACACAGAAAGGATTTGGAAGACAGGGCTGCTGTCATACTAATTTGCCTAACATAGAGAGAGGAGAAGGGGAGTGACCAAACATGTTCTCGCTCCCAACTCATTACATTGTTACACTTGATCAAGTTTGAACAATGACAACAGCCTCAAAAATGGGGTCAACGTGGAAAATGCCACCGAAGCCTTCTGGGAGAACTAATGATGTTTTGTAACTTTCATGAGGGACTTCTACTGCTTAGACCTCCCTTTGGAAACATGTTGCAGTAATTGAGTGAAAGAAGGCTTTAATGATGACCCCAAACCAACTTTAACTTTAACTTTAAGCTCCTGAATCGGACTCAGTGAAAAAAAATGGCTGCCGTTAAAGTAATTCTGAGAAAACCTTTAAAATTGTGGCAGCTACACTTGAAAATGAAAGAAAGGATCCCACTAAAGATCAAATGTGGTCATAAAGTAGACAAACTCCTTTAGGAACTCCCGATAAAAAAAAATTAGGAGTAGACATGAGGACTCAGGAGTCATTTCAACAGCCAATGAAAGGACTGAAAAGCAAAGAGGATAGAAAGATTAATAAATCAACCCATCTTTATTCAATTTGTACATTTGTACAATGACAAATTTAACACAAACATGAACTGAAACAACCTGCACATCATAGATTTACCAGACTTTATACATGCAAAAGTAAAGTATGAAAGATGCTTCTGTAATGCTTCTAATATGAATATCGAGAAAAATGGAAATAATTAAAACAATTATTGTTAAAAGAGTTTTGAGTTTAGTGTTGAGTTCTCATCCGTGGGGAAGTCTGAGTGGGTTGTGAAGGGCTCTGCTTCGGGTGTGGGAGGGTTAACTGACACATCTTTTATGATTATGCAGCCTCATTTGGTTGTTGTTATTGTTTTGGACAACTTGAGCAGTTGGATTTTTCCCTAGCTTTTGGGATAAGGCTATAAAGTCGTTGAGGGCTCATCATTTTCTGATTTTAAATGAACGTAAAAGCAAAGTGGTATCATTTGGTTCCTGTTGTCCTTTTTGTGCTGGCCGGTCTGCTTTGTCCCCACATTTAAAGTCGGTTAATTTAGGGGTGAAAATAGCTGCTGCCTTTAGGTTTGATAACCACAGTGTTGGTTGGAAAAAGGAGGATTTTACCACGCCGACACGTCTCTGTCAGGTCAAACCAGTCCACCCAGGCGTTACTTGGAATCAGTAATCCATGCTTTTAGTGCCTCCAGATGGATTATTCTAACTCTTTTAGCAGGAATTAACCAGGTTACGCTGTCACACCTCGAGTCAGTGCAAACTCTGGCACCACCACTCCTAACCAGTACAAAGGAACAAGCTAATGACTCCCATCTTATTCAGTTTTTATTGCATTATTTACTGTCTGCTCTTAGATTTGAATTATTTTCTGTATTGCTTTATGGTGTTTATCATATTCATTTTCTCCTGTGTTCTAACCGGGGTGTGTGATAAAACCTGGTGTGGTTTGGTATTCTTTCTTACAGGAACACTGCAGTGGCATTTCAAGATTTCTTTAATAATCACCCAAAACCAACATTAACACAGTGGTGTTGGACTTTTACTTAAAGCTTAACTTAATTTAATTTGTAGGAGCTGATTTGGTTTTGTGTGTTCATAGCTCTGACGGTGTTCCATGAAGAATTTTTGGCTTTTCCCTGGTTTGGTTACATTTTGGGATGATGTGCATTGTACAACTGTTGCAATCCTTGGATACCAGATACCCAAAACATTCCCAGTGTTGGATCTTGGAAATGTCTCAGGAAACATTTAGTGTAAAACTGACCAGTATCTGTTTGAAATCCTGAAAACAACCACCAAAAAATGGTACAAAGAAGACCGCCTGACAAAGAGGACTGGCTGGAAATTGTTAAGAACATATATTTCATGGAAGACATGACCCACAGAATAAGACTAAAGATGGACTCCAGTGTGGGAAAATGGACAAGGTGGATTACTTACTAATTGAACATATGGGGCATTGTTTACCAGCTTGAGTCATATCTCAATCCAGAAGTATAAAGTTCTGTTTATGTTGTATGTTCGTTTTTGTTTTTGATTTTTCTTCTTTTTTTATTTTCACGCTTTTTTATTGTCAACAAATGAAAATAAACTTTTTAAAAACAGAGAAAAGAAACACCAGCAGCCTGCCCGTGGTCTGGCCCTAACCCCCCTGACCGTGTCCTGTCTGTTGCAGGGACGCTGTGCACGGCCACCTCTGAGCGCTGCCTGTCCTCCCCCTGCCAGAACGGGGCCAGCTGTGTGGAGACCCTGCAGGACTACGCCTGCATCTGCCCCGGCGGGGGGCTGCGCTACACGGGCAAACACTGTGAGGAGCTGTACGACGCCTGCTCCTTCGCCCCCTGTGAGAACTGCACCAGCAGCCCCGGGACCAGCGAGTACCACTGCCTGTGCCCCCCCGGCCTCACGGGGGAGAACTGCACCCAGGAGGTGGACGAGTGCCAGAGCAGCCCCTGCTCCGGCCCCCGCTCCCTGTGCGTGGACCAGCACCACGGCTACTTCTGCCGCTGCCCCCCCGGCCACGGGGGGCCGGACTGCCGGGACCAGGTCACAGACTGCATCCACCAGCCCTGCGGGAACAGGGGCACCTGTGTGCTCCGGCCAGACGGGTTCCAGTGCCTCTGCGCCCCCGGGTACGAGGGGGCCGCCTGCCAGGAGGAGGTGAACGAGTGCGTGTCGCAGCCCTGCCAGAACGGGGCCATCTGCGTGGACGGCGTGGCGGAGTTCCACTGCTTCTGCGTGCCCGGGTTCCAGGGCTTCAACTGCGAGATCGACATCAACGAGTGCGCCTCCAAACCCTGCAAGAACAACGCCACCTGCATCAACGAGCAGGACCACTACCAGTGTGAGTGTCTGCTCGGATTTGAAGGTGAGGGCCCCGGTAACCTGGGTGCACACACACTCACACACTCAGCCCAAACCTCCAATCAGTCCCGTACTATGTGGACACGAGTTTCTGCTTGCTGTTCAAAGATGTATCCAAAATGTAATTATTGGCCAAAAAACACAGATCAGGTCTCACTATAGATTTTTATTTTACTGCTCTTCAACACTGCATTCAATGGTATTTGTTCAGTCATAACAGAGAATTTGAAATGTTTCAAGTGCATACTGGGAGAAAATTCTCTATCTGAAGAATTAAAGCTGAGTTTAGCTGGGTAACATTCATCTGTCAGTAGTTTTTATTCCTTCCTGCTGGATAACTAAAGGTGAAATTACACCTCCTGATCTTGCTGGGTGGAGAGTTTTGTGTACACGGTGACCTACAGAAGTATTCAGTGAAACCAGGGCTGGTGTTTTCTGATGATAGTGTTCCCTGCCCTCCAGGAATCAACTGTGAGTCGGAGATAGACGAGTGTGAGTCGGACCCCTGTCAGAACGGAGCCACCTGCCACGACGCCTTCGGCTCCTACTCCTGCGAGTGTCCGCTGGGGTTCGAGGGGGCCGACTGCGAGGTGGACATCGATGAGTGTGCCAGCGGGCCCTGTGAGAACGGCGGGCTCTGCCACGACATGGTGAACAGGTGGGCCAATCAGCCGGCTCCTCAGGGTAGACCAGGAAACAGGGACAGGACGGAGCCTCATCTGGAGGGTAGCAGGCCAGAGAGCATGAGAGAGGGTCATTTAAATGCAAATTCTTCATTAAAATCCATTTTACACACTCCTGAAATCTACCGGGTAATTTGCAATAGAGCTGCTTTCATTTGGTAAAACTTCATTTATTACATAAATTAATAAACGCAAATAAATCAAGACGTTGATTCCTGCTATAACTTTTATTTTGTGGGAAAACAGAGAGTAGGTATAGATCGTTCAATCTAGATCAATACCCAAAGCCTTATAGAGCTGAGTTTAGAGAAGACATGTATTTTTTTAATTGTATTCCTTAAGCATCTCGTTGATAATCCTCCACATAAACGCTGATTTTCCTCTCCCAGCTATGAGTGTGACTGCGATGAAACAGGATTTGAGGGACACAACTGTGACATTGACATCCCAGAGTGCGCCTCCCACCCCTGCCAGCACGGCTCCACCTGCCTGGAGGGAGTCAACGGATACACCTGCCTGTGCTGGCCAGGTAAGCCACACCTGAGCTGGCTCACTGTTTATCCCTTATGAGGCCAAAGCTAACACAACCAGAACTTTCTGATTACACAAGCACACAGTAAATAAATAATCGTACCTGTTCTCTTGTGAATGGAGATGTTATAACTTTAGAATCCATATCTTCAATACAGGACCATCACAGACCACTGAGTGTGTGTTTGTAAAACACACTTCCTGTAATTCCCTCTAAGCACAAGCAGACTCAAGTGGGTTTTCTTGAACTGGTTTATTTGAAGTCGTTTTGGGATCTCCAAATCCACCATAAAAACTAAACAAGGTCTGCTTGTGCTTGGGGGGAATTATAGTGAAAACTCGTTGGCTGCAAGAAAAAGGGAATTATCCAAAATCTTAAAGATTCTCTATTAACGCATTTTGCCTTAACTTGAGCAAAAATCCTTAACGAGGGCTCCAGTGCTTCTGCCGCCAGAGCTCAAACAAGACTCCTCTCTACTTCAAAATAAAAGTGCTCTCTAAACTTCAAAACAGCAAATCCACTCTATACTAAATAATACAATATAAATCAATTACACCTTACATCAATTCCAATCGGACAACTACTCTTGAAAAGAATAACTAATTCTAGACCTATAATGTTTGAACATTATGTACAAGACAGAATAAATACAATAGTTCCACTTGCACTGTACTCTCAGCTAAAAGTCAGACAGTGTTGTGTGCACTGCTAATTTTATTTTGAATTTAAAGAAGTTCTTACTGTCTATTATACATTTACAATATATTTTTTGCTATCAACTGGACATGGAATCAGTGTTTCTGTGTGAACCTAAAAAAGAGATATAGGTAGATGCTTGTATAATGGTATATAACATAGGTATATAAGAGGTATGATGAGATTTGACTTTCTCCTCCAGGTTTTAGAGGGCCCAACTGTGAGGTGGACATAGACGAGTGTGCGGAGCAGCCCTGTGAGAACGGCGGGGAGTGTTTCCAGCGCTCGGACCCGTCCCACTGGGAGCTGGACTGGGAGCTCAGCTTTGCTGATGCAGCTGGATACATCTGCCAGTGCCAGCCAGGTTTTGCAGGTCAGTGAAGGTAAATTCATCTGTAAAAAGTACATGTATCCACTAACAGAGCCCTCCCTGTTGTGGTCTCTAAACCTGGTCTGGTCTGAACCACAGGAGAGAACTGCTCCGTAAACATTGACGAGTGTGAATCGGAGCCCTGTCAGAATGGAGCCACCTGTCAGGACGAGACCAATGGTTACGTCTGCCTATGCTGGGAGGGATTCTTAGGTGAGTTTCTAAACCTACCATGACTCCCATTCCCACGTAATACACCTGGTAATCTCTGGGATAAGTCTGTTGCTCATCAGGTCTCTATGGGCGTGTCGGGTTTATGGACTCTCTGTTCCCCAACAGCACCTGAATTTATGACAAATGACTATAAAGTGAATTATTTTTTTAAAAATCAGCATATTTTTATTCAGCTACCCATTTCAAAGGTTTGGCTATTTGCAATAAAACACACTAAAGATGCTATGTTACGACAAAATGTCAAGTAATCCACGACAAACAGCTGAGAACAGCAATAAAATGAGGCTCTATTCTTAAATAGATTTCATTGCCTTCATTTTTTTTTTAATTCAATCACCTTGTCCCAGAGTTGTCTTCAGACACCAGGTTTCCCAACACTGTCCAATTACAAAAATGGGCCAACTTTCAATGTCCTGAAGGTCTGCAGAGGGCTGACGAAGACCCATTTATTTGAATCGGGTTTACTGGAGCAGGAAAGTTGGAAAAGTTGGGTCTCTCAGTCGAACCTGCCCTCACCAAAACATCCACATGTTTAAAAAGTCTGGACTGGGTTCTTGCTCTAAAAGGATCAGATAGCATGGAGGTTCCAGTACCCCACATTCCCTCTACATCCCTCCTTTTTCACGTCTACCAAAATGATAAACTGTCATAACATCAGGATTCTACTAGAGTCGTTTCCAGGTGGCCAATTTATGGTTTGAACTGTAGTTTGCTCAGAACTCAGATGAGATTCAAACTTCATCTGGTTTCGATTAGTGTGACATCTAACAGTTTTCCTATTGTTGTGGACATTTCAATGCCTTGATATAAAGGAAAATGTTTGAAGGAAAATGTATTTTCCTCATAACACTTCAGCATTTATGAGAAGTCCCGTGAGAGAATTTGATTAGATGTTGCTCAGACAGAGGAAGGGAGCAAAACCTGACCTGTTTTTTGTCAAGTCAAAGAGAATACAACTGTCATTTTTCTAAACCTATTTCTATTTACGTGCCTTTAGTGTAAGGAGAAAACATTAAGCAAAGGGTGGAGTCTGGTAGATCGTCCTTTTCTACAGTAAGGTGCTTTCTTTTCTGAGAAAGCACAGAATTACAGGCAAATGTGAACCTGATGAAAGTTAAAAAGAAAATGAAATGTATATAATGTAACCATGTGACCCTCCTGTTGAGGCACACCCCTAAAAGCCTCAGCTCTAACAGTCCTCTCTGTCCAGGTGAGCTGTGTGAGGTCAACGTGGACGAGTGTGAGAGCCAGCCCTGTGAGAACGGGGGCTGGTGTGAGGACGGGAGGGCCTCCTACACCTGCCACTGTCCGGAGGCCCCGGCCGGGGAGCTTCCCTGGGGGGGGGACCACTGCCACGTTAGGCTCTACGGCTGCGTGGACCACGGGTGTGAGAACGGGGCCACCTGCCTCCCCCGGCTGGAGCAGGGGGAGCACGCCCACTCCTGCCTGTGTCCTCACGGCTTCTCGGATGAGCTCTGCTCCACCAGGACCACGTTCTCCATGTCCCTTCCGGGATTTGTCCACGTTGCCGTGGCTCCGGAGGACCCGGCTCACGGGGAGATGAAGGTGGTGGACCAGCGCTTTGGGGTCCAGCTGCGCTTCCGCACCACCATCCCCAGCCTGCCGCTCTTCTACCGAGGAGACGCCGACAGCTACCTGTTCCTGGAACTCTCAGAGGGGGGGCTCCACGCTAAAGCCTTTTCTGAAGACTCGGAGCTGGACGTGACGTTCCCCGGCTCCATCAGCGACGGGCACTGGAGGGGGGTGCACGTGGTTGTGGGTGGTGAGGGCCTGGCCCTGACCCTGACAGGCCCGGACTGTGAGGCAGACGGGTGCACGGTGACCGACGGGGACCCGGATGAGCCCCCGTTCAAGCCCTCCGGAGCCTTCTCCAGCGTCTACATCGGCGGAGCCCCAGAGGAGTTTCTGGAGCGTTCTGGAAGCGGCGCAGGATTCGTTGGCTGCATGGAAGACCTGATGATTGACTCTAAGCTGGTTCCACCCCAGGCACTCCCGGAGCTCCAGGGCCTGGAGCTGGGCTGCCGTAAGGCGGAGTGGTGTGAGTCTGACCCCTGTAACGGACACGGACGCTGTGTGGATCTGTGGACCAGCTACCGCTGCGACTGCCACCGCCCCTTCCACGGCCAGAACTGCTCTGAAGGTGAGCCTCTAACCGGAAACTGCTGTCCTGTGGAGCTGGTCCAGCCTTTTTGATCGAGTGCTGAAACTCGTCTAACAGGACCTGAAAAATACCAGTAATGGTTAGATTTGTTTGTGTGAATGGTTAGACTTAAAGCCAAATGAAGGAAGTGTTGTTGAAGAGCATCCTAAACAGAAATCCTAACACAACTGTGGCTATAAACAGCTGCCATTCACAAACTACCTCTGGTGGCTAGCCTAATAGCCCTGATATGCAGCATTCTCCTTTCTCAAGATACGGACATGCTTCCAGTGTCATTGTGTGAATAATGCTTGCCACTTTATCCAATTTGAACAAATAGAAAAATCCTTTGTTTTAACACTAGCTGTGCACACTACATAATGAAACTACTATAGTCTTGTTTTCATTTGCCTACTCTAATTTTACGATGGTTTCTCGACAGAATTCCCGCCCATGACCTACAGCCATGAGGACACTCAGAGCTTCAGTGCCTTCAGGGTGGGCAGGAGCCACGGGAGCAACTTCAGCGTGTCCTTCTTCCTGAAGACTTTAAAACCAGACGGGCTGCTCTTCCAGCTGAGGAGGCCCACCGGGGGGGCCGAGGAGGAGGTCTACTTCTCCATCTACCTGGGCATGGGGCGGGTTTTTGTCAGCTCCCTGGCTAACAGCACCCCACTGACTGCTCCGGTTTTTGTGAGCTCTGGAGAGAAGCAGTTCCTGATCGTGGAGGTCAGACGCAGCCAGGTGTTTTTTTACCACGCAGACCTCCCTTACAGAATAGGAGACATTCCGGAGATGACTATTTCCAGTGGAGATCTCTTCTATGTTGGAGGACTTCCCAGAGACTTGGACTCTGATAGGTGGGGTGGACATTTCAAGGGCTGCCTCCAGGACCTTCGACTGGACTCTGTACATTTGGATCTGGATGGCTGGAAAACCTCAGATGAAGTTTATCCCCCCACTGATGCTGAAAATGTGATGAAGGGCTGCATAAGTGATGACACGTGCAAGGTAAGAAACACACTCGTAGCTTTGAGTTTCAGTACTCTATGCATCAGTTAAAGAACTTCTTTAAGAAAAAAGACAATGAAATCAAATACTTTGCTTGACTTTGGCAATCAATAAATTTCCCTTCGGGGATAAATAAAGCTATCTATCTATCTATCTATCTATCTATCTATCTATCTATCTATCTA